TACCTTATGGTCTAGAAGCAGGGACGGTCCTTTGCTAGTTACTGTATAATGCTAAGGGCTGGTCAAAAAATTTCCTAAATGGAAAATTGGGGTTTTACCAAAGTAAAACCATGTCACGGAAGATATCCGCTTTCCTTGAGAGAAAAAAAAAAAGTTGGGTTTTTTTTGGTTGGAAAATTGAAATTTCCCAATCTGAAAATATATTGATTTTCAGCCAGCATTATCTGGTTGACAAAAATAAAAGGCAGGCACCATGAGAGCAGATGTTTCAGTTTGCTGGCAGTTCTGAAAAATCAGAAAAAAGGTTTCAAGTCTAGCCCTTAACACATTTTTCAAACTTTGAGTGAATCATAAAGTTGGGGGGCGGGAGAGGGGGAACCTTTCAGGTCACAGCAACATTATTTGATTATTTAGTGATGCATTTTTTAAAAAAGAAAATAAAAATAATTTTGAACGCAACGAAACATTTTGACTTTGTTGGAAATTTATTTTCCAACATGGAAAATTCTGTGAAACGTGAATTTCTGACATGTTTCGAAGTTACCAAATCTGGATTTTTGGCCAAAAAATAGTTTTGTCTGAAAAATGTCACAAAGCTCTGAATTACACATATAAACTGTGATCTGAAGTTACATCTGATCAATTAATTGTGCACCTTCGAATTACAAGCTTCAGTGATTTGCAATTTTTTTCAAAGGCAAAACACAAGGGAAGCCTCTATCTATAGCACAAACGTACAGTAGATGTTATGAAATTACAGATGAGTAATGGTCAAGAAGGAACACTAGGGGGTACTTTGGATCCACTGTTGGATGGGTGAATTGGAACGAACTTAACTATTGTTATAAAGTGCCAAGTCATTGGAAAGTTTTTTATGGAAAACAATGGAGAACATGGTATCAAAATAAAGTATCACTGTAGGAATAGTTACACCAATTCTTTTCTCCCTCCCATTTCTATCTTGAGACAACAGTTCAAAGTATCAACTGGGCTTTAAAACGAAATTGT